AAAAGTGCCTTTGAATGCTTTATCACATTAAACCTTACCTTTAGAAAGAAGTGTGGGCGTATATTTCCCCCGTGCGATTTTTAGATTGGTGATGAGAACGAATTGGCCCTTACTATTGGCCGATGTGTTTAAGGCCTCACGGCGCGGGCAGAGTGATCCAAATGCTATGCTGAGCGGGGGGGGGGGGGGGCGAGTAAGCAAGCTACAAACATCCCGGAACATTTTGGATCACCATGGGCACGTATGGTACCAGCACGTGTACCAGCCGCGCATGGGGTAGTAAATGCGATATTAGCTGTAAGGTGTATCCAGTCATGTTTGCCGGAGGCAAAGGCTTTGACACAAAAACACAAAAATTCAGGAGGGGGGGGGGGGGCAGAGATCGGGTCCTTCTTGGCCTCGGTGCCTCCCATCGGCGTCACTGCGAAGACATTAACTTGTCTCTCTTTCGAGATCTGCCAAACCCGGCACTAGTTATGGACGGTGAGTGTGCTCCGCGCTTTTCGCTGGTGCTGCCTAAGCGCGTTATACCCCGGCCCCCTCCCCGCATAAGTTCCTTTCTCGACCATCACTTAAGGTCGGGGCGGGGCTCAGAGATTACCGACAGGCTTCTAGCTTCCTTTTTGCCCCCTCCCCTCCACGATTAAGGGACGCTGATTCGAAAAGCGCGGAAACAATAGCTTTTCCACCCACCGGCCTTCTCAGAAGTGAAAATACGCTCTCTTCACCATCCCCAGTGCCGAGGTCTATGAATGGGAGCAAACATTCGTTATATTATAACGATTACAAGACAAAAAAAACGCTCATTTTGCACTCGCATGTATCATGCGGCTGACCAAAGTTATCACGTTACTTTGCCCTACTTGGGTGTAGAGCTCGTCACATGCTGGATAAACGTACCGCACGCGGCGGATTCATGCGTAAATCAGATTGTATTAGATCAAAGATTGCCACGAAGCCACGGACTATTACCCAGGCAGATTTAAGAACCACTATAAATAAGAGAAATAAGGCTATTTATACTGTCTCATCTACATGCATACTGTTCCTCGCAAATGCACTAAACTTACGCCAAAAGTGATTCCTTACTAAGGACAAACATCACAGGTCAGAATCATAACGGCTTATGACGTAGCACTGGTGATTTTGAAGAAATTACGTTTTATTTCATAACGAATGTGCAATCCGCTCTTGAAACAACCCACAGCATGCAAAAGAATTAGTACGATCTACCCCACCATCCTAAACCATTTACCCCATAAGTAGGTTAGGCTGCATCAGTTGAAATGGGTCTATTCAACAGTAATTTACCGAGAATGGACAGCTGCTGTTAAAAATTCACTGCTTACTCTTGCGGGGAAGGAATGAGCTATCTCTAGGCATGTGTGACAGGACTCTGAGTGACGACGTGTAATCCCCTCGTCCCTCTCCCCTTGGTTTCTGCGGTACCAACCTTCCGGGATAAAGCTCCGAACGGTTGTGTTCTCAGCTCAGGATGTTGAACACGCAATGGGCTCCCCACTCACCCACTATGGAAGTAATGCTTGTCATTCACCTTGCTTTTCCCAACCCAACGTGCGTGTTATAAAATGTTCGCAACACCCTAACTGGACAACATGCTTGTGGAATAAATGGCATGAGAGCTTCAAATAGTCCATTTAGAGAAAAACATATGCAGATGTGAAGCAATTATAGCGAAAAATAAACGAGACACCATACCATGGCTTTTGGAGATCATCCCTGAGACGTTAAGCACGTTGGCTCTTCCGAAGTGTCCTTTGGCTTTGGGAAGCATTGTTTATTTGGATGTTCAGCTCGTCACATGGATGTGCTTCCAAATCAGCATTATGAGTTCATAGTTCTTGTGTTGAGTTATCGACTTTCAACATACCGGGAGGCGTTGGTTACCCGATGTTCTAGCTCAAAAGTTGGTTGCATTGCCAGAGTTCCGTGTTTCAAGGTGAGTTTAGGATGACGTAGTTTACTCCGACCATGGGAATAGCTTGCAACGTCGAGCACTGTCAATGCAACCAAGGTTTGCGCCGTAGGCATCATTTAAACAGTACCTCCAAGTAAACTGAAGGCTGATAGCTCAACATAAGAACGCAGAGCTCAAGATCCCGAAAAACCTGGAACAGACAGCCTCTTGCTTATATCACTTATAGATGAGGTACATAGGACGAAAACCCAGCGATACATGGCACGGCCCAGCGACGCAAAGGTTCGGACTTCCACCAAGGCACTTCTCCCTGAATGGCCTACGCCGCCCGCTGTGACGATTACAAACGTTTGTCTTCAACGCCATTTATCCCAATAAACGGCGGGGCATGCTCTGACCACCACACTGTTGGTCGTCACAGGCAGCTTGTTATATTAATCATGCCCATTTCCAGGCCAACTTTGAATCAGATCGATGTAAAATCCCCGCGCACAGTCAGGGTGGCTGTGGTGAGTATGTCACTTGAACGTATTGTGTACGCCTGGATCAACCATTCCAGAAATTAGGCATGAGGCTACAAAGAGAGAAAGAACAGCAAAACTACGTCAAAACGCTGACTGTGTGACATGGTATCCAAAATAATTAAAATCCTTTTCCTTGCTTTATCATGCTGGTGTCGTAGCGGCACAGCAAAGGTCATAGGTTAACTCTCAAATATTTCTCGTTTCCTCTTTTACTGACTTCGAACAGATAAAGAGCAACATGAAAAGGTGCGACGCCATTGATCCTACCCTAAAAAAACAGTCGGTTGAAATCGCGCGCGCACTATTTCATCCTGCAAACTGCTAAGTCCTTGTAGGGAATAGATCATCTTAACGATATCACACCTTCGTATCATGGCTGCTTGATGGGTCATTCGATGGGATGTATTGGCCTCGCTATTTGTTCTCCTGTGACACGTTTCTATTTGCTCTCACCATTTTGCGGCACCGCAAAACCCGAACGCCAACGTGTCATGCCCGTAATGTGGCTAACTGCGTAATATTCATCTTAATGACTACGGCTGTACAGCGCCACCAAAGGCCCCTATCTCCGTTTGTGATCACTCACTTTTCCCATATATATATATATATATATATATATATATATATATATATATATATATATATATGCATGAATGTAAATCACGTGACAATGTCACCCGTGGTCGGCGGGCGTGGATCGTATGAAAATTTCGTGCAAAAACTTACCGCGTTTGGCCACGGCAGCATAAAGAGAGAGAGAGAGAGAGAGAGAGAGAGAGAGAGAGAGGAGAGAGAGAGAGAGACGAGAGAGAGAGAGAGAGAGAGAGGGGGAGAGAAGAGAGAGGAGAGAGAGAGAGAGAGAGAGAGAGGAGAGAGATAGAGAGAGAGAGAGAGAGAGAGAGAGAGAGAGAGAGAGAGACGGTTTATTTAGAAAAAATATGGCTTCGTGTATCAACTCATATAGCACATGTGCACAATATACATATGAAGTAGGATACTACTTAGTTGGCAGTATATCTGTGTTTACGAGAGTGGTTATATGGGGACTACTTAATTTGCGTAGTCGCGTACGTTTGGAACAGCAAAACAGCAAAATGTTTGGAGTGTGCTTGCGCTCCTGGTATTTCTGCCGGAGATCGCCACTCGCTGCTTTGGAAGCAGATCTCTATGCATGGGAGACGCTTGCATTTGTTTTCCTAGCATTAGGCACAGCTTTTCATAGGCATACACATGACAATGGCGGATAAACTCACACATGTCTCCTATAATAGAAATGGAGACAACATTTCACGGTTTTTTGTGGTATCGATGAATGTAAATGATGTCTTTTGAGCCACACAGACATGGCTCCCGAATTAAATGTGCTTCCATGCGCGAAGCATTACAAGTGACAAGTGACAGGGTGACGGTCGTCGTGGAAAAGGCGTGAATAGTGTCAAGAAGAGAATGTATATCATTTCAAATTTGTCGTGCGATATTTATTTCATATTGCTGCATGAAACACCCATTTTAAAAAGCAAACGCCATAAAAAAGCTCGAATTTCTTTTCTGAATACGGATTTTTGGGGCTATGTTGGGGCTCTTTTGGCGCATTTGAATGCTGTGAGGTCGACAAAATAAAAATGGTGAGTTCTCGTGGCATTATCGCACTGAAAATGTTTCAACTTTACTAAAACTGTTTATTATGTGTGTTCATGTATACTGCTGCCAAGTGAGCAGGCTTCTCATGTCACATATCCAACCTTTCTTAACTCATCTTCAGCAAAAAGCTATCAGTTGATGCAAGCAATATTAGAATCCCACGTATATAACTTAATTGGATTTGTTTCCGTCAAAGCTGGCAGATGACAACGGTTGTGGTCTTGCCAAACACGTATTTATTGCGGTGTGTAAAATATTGCGATCAACATAGCCGTCATGACTGATTTCGTCAAAAAAAAAACAAGGTCAGAGCGTCTTCCTGATTTAGCTTTGTCTGGAGAATGGATGCGAATGTTTTAAGTCCATCCACGTTGCAGTTCGCGCTCTTCAGAAAAACGTTAGGAGAAGGTCCTCTCGTCGCTGTCTTTCAGAATATTTTCACCGAGTATTCTCCATTTACCTCAAAGCGTGCCCCTCCCCAGAAAACCATGCTGATGCTCGCATACGCCACATGTGTATGATGAATCAAGAAAAGCACGTGCCTGTCTGGCGCTTCCACATCTGCCGGGCAAGTGTTTCCTGCCCGCGAGTCAGGCCGTGAACGCTTATCCGGTCGGCGCATCGCACGCCGCGCAGCTGCGCCCGTCCACGCAGGATTGTTCCTCGCGGGTACATAAGCGCCGACGAGGGTGCATCGAGTCACACCAGTCTCGGAACGCCAACATGTTGCGTCTGCTTCTCGTGACCTGCTGTCTGGTGGCGGTCCTGGCGGCCCCGGCCGCCAGGCCCCCACCCGGGTTCTACAGGGGACCAGAACTCCTTGAACGATTCGAGAAGGGCTCTGTGGAATCCTCATCTGGTGGAAGCGAAACGGGATCTTCCGGGCAAGGGTCTGAACAATCTTCTGAAGGAAGCAGCGCATCAGAGGAGGGTTCTGAGGGATCTTCCAATGAAAGCATGTCTTCAGAGGAGGGTTCTGAGGAATCTTCCAGTGGAAGCATGTCTTCAGAGGAGGGTTCTGAGGAATCTTCCAGTGGAAGCATGTCTTCAGAGGAGGGTTCTGAGGAATCTTCTATGGAAGCATGTCTTCAGAGGAGGGTTCTGAGGAATCTTCTAATGGAAGCATGTCTTCAGAGGAGGGTTCTGAGGAATCTTCTAATGGAAGCATGTCTTCAGAAGAGGGCTCTGAGGAATCTTCCAATGGAAGAAGGTCTTCAGAGGAGGGTTCTGAGGAATCTTCCAGTGGAAGCATGTCTTCAGAGGAGGGTTCTGAGGAATCTTCCGAGTGGAAGCATGTCTTCAGAGGAGGGTTCTGAGGAATCTTCCAGTGGAAGCATGTCTTCAGAGGAGGGTTCTGAGGAAGCTTCTAATGGAAGCATGTCTTCAGAAGGAGGGCTTCTGAGGAATCTTCCAAGTGGAAGAATGTCTTCAGAGGAGGTGGAAGCATGTCTTCAGAGGAGGGTTCTGAGGAATCTTCCAGTGGAAGCATGTCTTCAGAGGAGGGTTCTGAGGAATCTTCGAGTGGAAGCATGTCTTCAGAGGAGGGTTCTGAGGAATCTTCTAATGGAAGCATGTCTTCAGAAGAGGGCTCTGAGGAATCTTCCAATGGAAGAAGGTCTTCAGAGGAGGGTTCTGAGGAATCTTCGAGTGGAAGCATGTCTTCAGAGGAGGGTTCTGAGGAATCTTCCAGTGGAAGCATGTCTTCAGAGGAGGGTTCTGAGGAATCTTCGAGTGGAAGCATGTCTTCAGAGGAGGGTTCTGAGGAATCTTCCAGTGGAAGCATGTCTTCGGAGGAGGGTTCTGAGGAATCTTCCAGTGGAAGCACGTCTTCGGAGGAGGGTTCTGAGGGATCCTCCAATGGAAGCATGTCTTCGGAGGAGGGCTCTGAGTAATCATCCGACGGAAGCAATATTGGATCCCCCAAGAAATGGTTTTGAAGTCTTTTTAGGGAATGCAAGGGAGCCCTCTGTTGAAGAAGCGTTCGAGAGGAACGCACTGAGTAACCCTATGATGGAAGCAATACTTTGGAAAGAGATTCTAAGTGATATTTTCCATGAAACGGTGCAGTGCCTTCACAGACAAACCTCTGCGATGTCCTAAAATGTGTGCGGCTGCCAAGAAACCTTCATGATATTCAGGGTTTACTGTTTCCTTTTGCGTTCTGCCTACTTTGTGGTTGTGGCATATATCTTTGGCCGAAATATATGCGAATAGAACATGACAACAAAGTTTTCGCTAGCACTGGCAAGACGAGAAGTTTTCTTATCATTTTCGCAAAAGTAAATCAGAAAGCACTGCTATATGTTTCTGGCCCTTTTTCATTTGGTGCATCGAAAAGTGGCCTTTGTAGACTGAATTATCAACTTTTGATTCTCTCGTGTGTGCATGGTGCAGGTGCGCGGGCATGGATTTGTTACGCTCAAATATATATAAACACCGATCTTTTTTTCTTGAATGGAGTCTCTCTAGTCGTAGATGAGACAGCAGTAATAGCCTTGGTCCTCGGAGAAAAACCAGGAGAATTGGGATATAGATGCGTTGATATTTCGGCCACACGCCCTCGTCGAATGAAGAGCAGAAGTGAATTCGAAATGGCCTGCCGATGATCCTATTCATTTCTGTCTTTTTTTAAGCAGAGAGCCACAGTATTTATAGCATGCCAACATTCAGGGGATGACACAAGGAGCAATTTCCAGCCGTCACTGCGATACGGTGTATACCTAACTAAGAATAAGAATACGCGAAATTCGTGTACACGCAAACAAATTCAAGCAAACAGGCATTACGCACCATGCTTCATTTAAATATGAAAGCGAATTGAAGTAAACAGGCACCACGCATCCACGCATCAATCATACATGCAAGTGACTTCAATTAAACAGGCATCACTTATACATGTAAACAAGTTTACGCTAGCACACATCTCACATCAAGGCGCATATCACGTTCGTATCGTCTGCCAGGAGGAGCCTCACACGCCTAAGGTTTGGTGGTGTGCTTTTTATAAGAATAGATTCACTTACTTTCTTGTCTGGGTGGTCCTGTGCTCTTTAAATGAAATTGGCCTCTAAAAGAGGCATGGGGACCATACCTCCCTGGATTTCAGCATAAGCCGGCCGGCGGCCCGATCCTCATTCGGCCGGTTCTTCTTTGACTCTTAATCGTGGCCGATTTTGCGAACGTGATATGTGCCTTGATGTGTGATGTGCTAGCTCATAATTGCTTGCATGTATAAGTCATGCCTGACGCGTAATCCGCGATGCCTGTTTAATTAAATGGTGATAGGTGATGCCTGTTTACGTGATCACGTGATGTGCGTTACCTGTTTACATGAATTCGTGTGCATGCACACGTATTTTTGCGCGTTCTAATTCTGAGTTAGGTATACACTGTATCGTAGAAATGTGCTGGAAACTGCTCCTTTTTTAATCCCCTAAATGTTGGTGTCCTGTAAAAACTGTGGCGCGCTGCTTTAAAAAAAAGCATGAAAAATGAGCGGGACCATCGGCAGGCAATTTTGAACCACTTCTGCTCTCCGTTTCGATAGAGGCAAGTTGTCGAAATATCACCGCATCAATACTTCCATTCTTCTGTTGTTGTTTTTTCTCCGAGGAATAAGGCTATTAGTACTGTCTTGTCTATGTGACTAATGTTCCTCGCAAATGCACTCAGCGACTCGCGTAATTTCGGGTCGCGTTGAAGTTAGTTCTAAGTAATCTTCGGATAGCATATCTGAGCAGGAGATTATGAAAAGGACGTATGTACCTATTCTACATCCCTATTCAATGAATATAAGACAGCGATTAAGCTCCCCGGTTGTCGTCAGGTTTTAGCAGGAAGGTCGTAGGGATGGCTGTGGATATAGCCATGCATAAATGACAGCCTGAGAGGTTGCTGGCAGTTTCGCTCTGTAAACCCGTAATCATGCGTTTCGTACACTTGCGCCCTTGCGCACTTAATGCACTCACATTCTCAGGTGCACTACAACACCGAGGAAGTCGCCTTACGGTGCGTTAGAATTTCCTGTTACCTGTCTCTAGCATTTGTTTGTGAAATTCCCTTAGCTCAGGGAGCCATACTGGACTGATGCCTGCACCAAACCTGATTAAAAGGCTTGTGGCAAGGGCCATGCCAGCAAAATGACCTTTAATTTTACCTAGTTTTTAATGCGAACACTGTCGACAGCTAGCGAGGACGATGAGGCGAAGATTACTTCACCTCACGTTTCTCGCTGTTCACTTTTCGACCGCACGTGTTGTGCCGTGCCCGAGCTTTCTGCTTCGCCCGGAAGTTCTATTGCTGTCATCGTGCACCATGAGCGACTGCGGGCACTCATTTTCACCTTTGTATGACTTTCCACAGCTGGAAGATGCCCCATATGTCATTCTTTCAGTTGTCTATAGGCGTTAATGATCTGACTATGGCGAGCGCTCGCCCCGATGTCGTGTCTTCCCCGAAGGTAGTTCTGATGTCACAGCGTCCACAGTTTCTCAGAGTTCCGTGGCACGCCACTGCTGCATAACAGTGGCACTGTTGCAGATGGTCTGCCTTTAGACTGTTTCGCGTCCGTGGGTGTGTTGGACTTGGGTTTCACCAAGTCCCTCACACACTTTTTCTTCAGAACACTCCCCCCCCCCCCTCCTAGACGTTGCCTCGGATGTCACCTGAGTGAAGCCACGTAGACCAGGGCAGTCCTCAGCGCGTGCATTGCAAGCTGTGACCTTCAGAGGACGCGATATGCTAGATCGATGCAAGGCATGGCCGATACGACCGTCCAAACCAACAGACCAAGGCTCCGGCCAGGGCAGTGCGGGCCCTCTTAGGTGTAGTTGGCGAGGGGCCCTCTGTTCGTAGACACCCACAGCGATTATTCACTGGTCGTAGCCTACTTTATTTTGAGGCCCATTTTTATTCATTTTGCTTTTTTGTTTTTTTTCGTTTGCAACTGAGGCAAAATCCAGAAGCTACCAGAAAATGTTATTTTAGTTGAAATCATGTGAGAAAAAGTAACTAACCAGGCATGAAACAATGACATCGAACTAACAGCCTGCGCTATTAATTTTACCGTGGCTCATTCAACCGCGCCTAAGCCGACGGAACTTTGAGGAGTTCCCGAAATTTATGTGGCATATGATATTCCATTAAAATTTGTGGATGAATTTGTTTGCGAAATAGCAGAATTGCTTCCTTTGTACGTGAAGCGTTTGCTCTCATTAGGAAGAGAGCCCGCACCTTGAAAGCAGTGCGTTGCCCTGGGTTATCTTTTACCGAAGACGGCATATGTGGATGGGATGAACGACTTGTGTTCACTTTTTTCCGTCCCTGTTTGCAAAACTTTGGAATCCCTTATTTGCATGGAAGTTGAAACAATGAGTGGTACTACTGACCACAGGTAGCTGGCAGTATGCGTAAGTACCCCAATTTCAAAGCATCTCGCTTTTTTTGTTATATCTTGCTTCCACAATCACTGACATCTTGGTTCCTCCATACCGCCGTGCATGGTGAATTTCTCGCGAGCATTTCCTCCCATTGGCGAAACAAAACTTCTGTAGTTTCAGCGAAAGATCCGGTGGTACTGAGCGACACACGCTGAAAAAAACGCCAAACCTATAAGCACTCATGCATTCGCTATTCCCTTCCAAAATTTACTGGTTGTGGAGATACGCTTACGTCAAAAACCGCCTACGTTTGGAGTTTAAACCTAAAAGACAGCTTCTATGCATAGGCGTAGGAGCGTTTCAAAAAGTAGGGGGGGGGGGGGGCGGACTCAGGATATGATTTGGGAACTTTTTCTGGGAAGCAGGCGCGGTGACCGGGTAAGCGCTGGGCGATTTTTCTGTCGTCAAAACCTTTTCGCCTTGGAACGAATGTTGCCTTTCATGAGACTCGCAGACTTTGTTTCACCCGCTCGGCAACAATCCCGTTGGGTAGACGGCTGGGAGGTGGTCTGCAAGCACGGGCTTTTTCGAGAGACGTTTTATCCAAGTCTTTAATCGTCTGCAAGGTTCCGTTTTAGTTGGTTGACAGCAACAGCCTCCGCTGCTTCGCTCCCGTTCAGTTGGTAGCCTAATCTTACGATATAATGTGAGGATGAGCTTGTTTTGGTGGTGCCGGTAATCACCTCAGGAGACTCACCCTCAAAACGCGGTGCGTTCAGAATCTTTCCAGGTATAGGAGTAAGAACGTTTCAAAAAGGGGGCGGGCAAGCTCAGGATATACTTCAAGAACTTTTTTTCTGCAAAGCAAGCCCGATGGCCAGGAGGGGGGATAGAGATGGAGTTTGTTATCTCTCTTTATTCAGATGTCATGGCTGCTGTGCTAGACATGCATCTAAAGCTGGTTCTTACTGGTGCACAATCTTGACCATTCGACTCATCTATGTCATTCGGCAAATAAGACTATCCAGCTTCCCAAGATTATTCCTTCACTTTCACTTTCCTTTATTCACTTTTATATTTTCACTTCTCCTTTCACTTTTTTTTCTTCACTTCACTTGAGGAAAGCTTCTCGCCTAAGACATAAATTGGTCCAACGGCCATGCAGCTGCCGCTCATTCAACGTAACTGACTTAATCTGCTCTTGTAAGCAGGCAGGGGCGTAGCCAGAACTTTCCCAAGGGGCACAGCAATAACAAAGCCCCGCTGATGGTGACCTCAAGCCCCCCTCCCCCATCCTCCAAAAGAGCCAGAGTTTATTTGTTAACAAGGGACACTGTTTTCTTCGTTTTATCTTAGTTTTACGTTAACAGAAACCAGACGCCATCCGAAATCAATGCTGTTTGTATTGCGAAGTCAATAAACCACAGAAATCAGGCGTTGAACAACTGCATGGAATAAATCATCCGCGCTCTCAGTTCCCAATGGTTCAGTGGACTCTAAGCCGTTACAATTATTTTGCTTTTTCAGCTTTTTTTTGTCCTGGTTTAACAAACATATGAGGACCTCGTGAAGGTAGATTGTAGATCGAAGCCGGTCAACAATGTGCATCAACATGGCCGAGCCATGTCTGGGCATTTTCATTATTCAGTCAGAATCGATTAGTGATACAAATTGTGTGACGTAGTTTTGCGCATGCGCGCTTGATAATCTTAGGAGCAAAAACTTTGACGCCAGACGTTGCAGTCTCCACAGGCCGCGCAGCGTCCGCCCCGCGGTTGATACCGAGTTGTGGCCAATGGGCGGACGAAAATGATGACGCTTCTGTAAAAGTGCCTTTGAATGCTTCATCACATTAAATCTCACCTTAAGAAAGTAGTGTGGGCGTATATTTCCCCCGTGCGATTTCTAGATTAGTGATGAGAACGAATTGGCCCTTACAGCACCGCGAATTTGGTCTCGAATCTGGGAACGGTAGAGGCAGAGGAGGTAGAAGGAAGGAGTAGGTAGGAGGAGGTAGGAGGTAGAGGGCGCAAGGGTAGAATCTCTGCTGTTCGTGTTGCCGTAGTTGTTAATCTTCAGCGGACAGATCAATCCGGCACCCGCTGCCTGGTATCACATGCACTGGCCAACGCCGTTCGGTTTTACGGAAGCTGTAACCCAGGCGATCGTTGTCCTTGCTCCCGAGATTGCGGCCGCGCATGTTTAAACCGTTTGACGTAATTTGCCTCACTAATCGATTTTGGAAAAGAATGAACGCTCTCAGACGAGCATGGATGGCGTTGTTCTTTTTTGAACGAGCTTGAATAGAACACTAAGGGCACATTATTGTTCCCGCTCACGGGCTAAATGGCGATTCTGTCCCATCGCGAGATGTCCTCCAGCTGCCATTCTGGCGACAGGGGGTGGGATTCCTTGGTCGATCTGGAGGCCCTTGGAGGGGCACATCATATCACATTCTTCCCCTGCCTAACGCGGGAGGCCTTCTTCGCAGTTGGCCCTGGATCAACACAGGAACACTCATTGACACAACAACATTCGTGATCGCCGCAGGTTTGTCCAATAATTGTTACATAGACTCCAGTTCCAGATTTGCTTTGTGCTCTTCGCAGATACTGAGGACCCCCTGAGCGTAGATTGTCGATCGATGTGGGGTCAAAAATTTGCATTGGCAAGGCTGGTCCATGTTCGTCTTACAATGTTCAGTGTTCAGTCGGAATTGGTTACTCAGAAAAATTATGTAATATCGCTTTGAACAGGCACGCTCGCGAATCTTGGCAAAGCCTCGATGCCCGGCGTTGCAGTCTCCATGGGCCGCGCGACATCGGTCTCGCGGTTGTGACGTCATATGACTGCCAATGGGCAAACAAAAAAGGTGACGAATGTTGGAAAAGATTGTTGGCGAACTAGGTAGATCAGAATGTATATCTAAGGTAGTACAAACGTAGGCTAAACGCAACTTAAATCTGAAAAAAATGGGGCCATTTAACATTGCTGCCTCCCCCACCTTGAAGAGGGGGACATGGCCTCCTGACCCCCCTGTTCCTACATCCATGCCTTTATTTTTCGGCGTCGCAGCGAAAAATTGCAACATGCGGATTGCTCCAGGGCACGAAACCGGTGCTCATTTCTTGAAGTAGTAATCCGTCACCGCTCTGTCCCATCAGATCGCTGCATGTTTGAAAATATGCTGAAGATCTTACCATTGCACTGTGTTGCGACTCAGTGCATAAGTGGGCAAAGGTCCGATGTTGGACTGTCTCGGATGAACACTGGATGATCATTGTGCATAATGCGCTCGAGAGTCAGAAGCTTCGCATCCTTTATTTTGGGTGCGATGTTTGGCTTCAAGTGAGCCGTTGTGTATTTTGTATATTAGTTTGATAGTTCTTCTATCCACTTAGTTTTAAGATAGTCTATTTTATTCTATCACGAAAGTACGATTCACAAATCTTCGAAAAACTTAGCTGCACGAGAAAGGAACAGAAGAACATGGAGAGAGATTTTCGCTACCGAGCAAAACAGGTAAAATTAAGGCTCTCTCGGCGGCACGAACGCGCTAATTGGCCTTCAGGGTAAGATATTCTGACGTGTGTACACGACCATTACATGACATAAACATCCCAACCTAATTTTTGAAGCACACGAATTGATGTTGGAGGACTTTGGACGCATAAATGCACGGCAGTCGTTCTGACGCGCCCGGCACCCGCCGCCTCGTGTACCTGCAGCGGCCAACGCCGTTTAGTTTTACGAAAGCTCCAGCCCTCGCCCATCGTCCTTGCCCGTAAGAGTGCGGGCGCGCTGCCTCAAAATACGCCCAAAGTGATATGATTTCGCTAGTCGATTCTTGAAAAGGATGGACCTCCTTGAGCAAATATGGATCGGCCTTTTCTTTATTTTTGACGTCATCACCATCCACCCTGTTGGGCACAAAGCAGACCCCTTAACTTTTCCAGGCAGTATCGTTCCCGGTCAAGGACCAAAGAGCCATTCCGCCCCAATCCGGGTGCCCACCGGCTGCCATTCTGGAGACACGGTGGTGGCCCGCTGAACGATTTGGAGGCCCTTAGAGGGATACATCATACATAAGTCCCCTCCCTGGCTCAGAAGGTCCTCCAACCCGGGCAGCTGGCCCCGGATCAACGCAGAGGCCTTCATTGAGGCAAAAATATATATTGTCGCTGAAGGGGTCTAATAACTGGCACAGACTCCAGTTGGGGTTTACGGGGCCCTGGCTGAAATGGGTGGAGGGTTTCCCACTCGCCACTGGGGCCCTTGACCGCCACAGGGCCTTCCACTGTCTCATTGGGGACTCTCATATTTTCCTTTTATTATCAGAGGGTCCGACCAACGCAGAGGCCCTCTGGCATTCGGGGTCCCTTCCCTGTCCTTGTTCAGCAAATGTTTCGTTGGCCGACTCTTGGTCCCTTGCTGATACGGGTCCCTCTTTTAGGCATTATGGGCACCTGATCGGTACAGAGCCTCTTACCATTTTAGGCGCCCCGACCAATGCAAAACGCGGACCCCGGCCTTGTCCCTGCTTGGCAAAGGGCCCCCCAGGGCCCATACCGACGCGGAACCGACTGTGGGCATTGGTGGTGCCTGACCGACATAAAAGCCTCCGTCTTCTCAGCGGACCACGACCGGCGCAAAGGGTCCCCTGCCTGGCAGTTGAGGGCCCTGCCCTGCGGCCGAGACCCCTGAGTATGAAAGGCCTGAAAACAGACCCTTAAGCTCCGGTACCAGTGGGCTCGAAGAGCCACTCACGGCGTACGGAGGGTACGCGCCCTCCGCGTCCCCTTCCGTGCCTGCGTCACCGGATGTGTAACATTGATCTGGTGTTTGTCAAACACGATAACCATTATGCATCATGTCGTTTACACCCAACATTTTCCAAAGTGCAATGTTACTGGCACAGAGAGCTGACCGCACGCACACCGGCAGGCGTTCGAATAATCGGCCAAAGCTGTGTGCATGTCGGCATGTGTGTGGTGCACGTTTGTGCAGGAAGATTTACGTATGGTTACATTCGCACTATCCCTTCATTCTTAACGCAGTGACTGCATTCACTGTCTACGTGGTGCAGGTAGCACACACCTTGGGCGTTTTAGCTTTCATGCCCTCGCGGTGAGAGCCGAACGCACGCTTTTGTTGCACGCACTGGCCGCGTTACTCTCATTCGTCTGAAGCGTACCGGCACGCTTGGGGACGACACGCCGCGTGACGGGACTTACGCACCCTGCAGCTCCCCCCCCCCTCCCCAGGAGGCCCGCATGCAGGTGTCGGCCGCTGCAGGAGTCAGCCCCTCCCCCCCCCCCTCTCTGCTCCGGGGCCTGCACCGCCAGCCAGCGTCGACCGAACGCCATCTTCGTTAAGATGATAATAGTTGGCGTATCACATACATGCTGCTCACAAGTACATATATTGTTTATGCATACATGGTGTCAGTTGGCGCCACACCTTATACACAGCTCTTCACCAGTAGTCACCAAAGACAGCTCAATACAAAATGGAATGATTCAAACGCAGAAGCGCCTGTCGTCATTCCCCACCCGCCTGACGTTATTGGCTCCCACTAAACGGACGCGTGCTCTGTGCACTGCAAACGATGCCATGCACAGCGTCCGTGTCGCATCTCAACTGACTTTTAGGCGTCTGGAACACGACAGTTAAATGCACATAGTGTCCTATACTGTCTTTCTCTTATACTGTCTTTCACAACAACAATGCACATGTCTCACCTGTACACCATACGAACCCCAAGAGCCGTATTGCATAGGGACTTCCAATGATCCTATATCTAGATACAATCATATCTGATAACCAGTACACATTTCAGTGCAGACAAAAGAGTATCTCAGACAATTTTTGGGCGTCACCAGGTTGTTTGCCACTTCATGCACAAACCTCGTCACGAACTTCGTCACGAATTTCGTCACGTAGGCCAAGAGAGGCACCAAACACAAACAAATATGTCCAAAGATACCGCAACAATTGACACGTGATTACTAACTTCGTCGGAAGCGTACCCCTGAATGGAGGAGACCATAGCGTTACAACGCATGTGCCGAATATTCTGCGCCCTAATTTTAGACGTCTGAACGCTTCGCGAGATTCGACAAACACCGCAACACGTTTCGCCACCATAGTCATATATGAACATTTCCCATCTCCTACTGCAGACAACTTCAGACCACACTAAAACACGGGAATATATGAGCAGCCTGCGTCTTATGGAAGCTTGGTCGTCCAGAACGTTTGGAAGACAATGCACGCAAGCTTGCATTTCATGTCTTGTAGCAGCCGGTCTGAGTTACCGCACTTTTTTGTCGCTGATATGTCACTCATCTTTAGAAGTATAGCATCAACACGATGAATAGGACATTATTGTGAAATGAATCGGTTAAGCATGACAATAACCAATTCATATCATGAAGCAAAACTTTGAGACGAGCATCAGCTTACGTGGCCATGAGCACATCAATAAATGCGACTGTGTTTACCCGCGACGCGAGAGAACCCAAGACCATAGGGGACGATAGGCGCAATGACAATGCATCGCCGAATGTGTCGGTTTTGTTATGTTAACCAGCTGCTAACTGATTTTCACTGTCCTCTCATGATCAGATTCTCCATCACTTGACTGGTTCTCCTGAGTGGGCCATCAACATCCTTTAAGAGAGGAGAGGGAGTACCTCGTGGCGTGGCATATTCTGAGGCCGCATGGTTCGCCGATTGTTGCGTTACCATGCCTACCGGCTCCGTAGCTCCTCCACTCGCCGACCGCTATATCCTTCGTATCGAAACCATCCCTTACGCCACGTCCTGTTCGCCTGATGACGCCAATGAAAGCCATCTAAATAGCCACAAGGATTTACCCGCCGCGCCTGGAGCCGCCATCACCGCCCTTGGAGCCCTATAGGTGCCCCCCCCCCCCCCCCCCCTGTCGGGGCTGGCAGCGAGCCGTCACCGCCGCCTCAGTCCGCCGGCCGCCGGCTGTAGTTCGGCGGCCAGCCGCGGCGCGGCGCTACTGGGCCGGCCGCCGCTCAGCTGTTGTCGGCCGTGCTCTTGTTGTCGCGCGGGTAGAACTCGGCGATAGTGCTGGCCGGGATCCGCTTCAGCATCTCCTTGGGGAAGATGCGCAGCAGCTGCCAGCCGATGTCCAGCGACTCGAACACGGAGCGGTTCTCGTAGTTGCCTGCGGAAAACGGCCACGTTCGGCATTGCACGTGGAAGCTAACCTAATATGTCGCTTGCGGAAGAGTCGGACGCCACCATTTGCAAGCTAGTTGTGCTTACAGCACGAAACGACGCTAATTGATCACGTTTGATTATCCCTGGCCACGCGAGAGGCTCCTAGAAACGCAGAAATCACGACGTTCGCTTAACTGAGATTCTTCTCTGCAAATAACTGACACAGACCGACTTTAACGGCATGTTTTTGAGAAGGCACACCGGACCATCTCCAAACTTTTCGGATATTGAGCGGCACACGGCGGCACATCCCGTCATGAAACAGGGTCAAGACGCCACGGGGCAGATGGGCCTGGCCATAGTCCATCTGAACTTCATTTGCCCGTACTATCATGTGTGTCGTAGCAACTGTCCCGCATATCCGCGTTAGCCCCCAAACATCTAAGCTAGCCCACTGCTGCTGTGATTTCCTCGCCGCATTCGAAATATGTAACGGCTTCAACAGTTATCCTTGATGTTTGAAAGCAGGGGTGTTAGAGTTTTAAACGTGTTTGAAGTCTGGACTGATGCTATCATTTTTTGTCATTTTTTTCTATTTTTTTTTCTACGCCGTTACCCAAGAACAGGTAACCAGGAGTGCCCCTCCCTCAATCCCAGCGACGCAGTAAACCGTACGCTAACACCAGAAAACATAAAATCAAGTCGCGGCACTCCCAGCTAGGAAGATGAAACAAACTTAAAAAAACAGGCGAGGAGGTGGAGCAGACCCGAGGGAATTGTGTTACGTGAGAGGGAGGGAAAAATCATAGATGAAAAGGCTTAAAGTAGTCATTAGCCAAAATCAGCTAATGACAGCCCGCTACAACCGCCCAATAATCTACAACCACTCAATTCCCGGTGTTAGTAAGGGTTATACAGTCACAAGTCGGAGGGGGCAATTACCTGGTCATTTTTGTGCTGGGTTTTGGGCTGGATTTCCAGGGAGTCCACCCAGCTAAGCAGAGCTTGTTGCTGGGAGAACTCCCGGAGCCAGCGCCATTAATTTGGGTATATGTGCATGACTTTATATCAGAAATTGATTATGAAACATGAAGGAGGTCAAATATGAAGTGCGTTGGATATGTACAGCACAAGGATGGCAATGTCTTCAAATATGTTTGTTACGTTAATATGTGTTCACGAAACGCTTGCGGATGATGTTCTTAACGATGGTTTTCGATACAGGGATATCAGCTATTCTTGGAAAATATGGAACCATAATGTCGTTCCACAGCTTAGGGCCAAGGTAGGATGCTGTAAATAGTCTATAATTACGATAAGAGAAAGGTTGTTCTAAATGTTTTGCTCGCCTCATATCCATGTCTTTGGATTCGTAGAGATTGTAAATTAAATCGAATGATGCAGGGAGCTGTGAAGTTAAAAATTTGTGCATCACAATTAACATTTGAGATTTAGCAATATCCGATAGTTTCAAAATTTTGTATCGTTTAAAGATTGGCTGAGCTTTGCGGGCATTTGTCACGGCTCTGAGCATTTGTCACAGCCATGGCCCTAAAACTCTAATCCTTTCTGGAATATGAGTAAATTCTCGGGCAGGCAATGAGCCAAATATTATGGTAGTAATGCGCTAAAACATCCCTGGTGAACACGCCCCGAGCATCTCAGCCCACATGGTGGTACGCTGGAGCACGCCGAGCCTGCCACTCGCTACTGACACCGTACTACAGTGGGCTAGATTGCCTTCAAAGTCGCCAATGATTCGGGGGAGTGGTGAAATGGGACAATGTCATGATTTCCACGGTTGCTTTAAATGCGGAGTCCTATTTTGCAGCCGATTTTATCGTACTGGTTACGGGAAGCCCACGAAAAGGATCACCTGGGTCATGGTGACGGCACCCACTAAGGCGTTTGCTCATTAAGTTAGCTAGAACCGCGAAACAGGAAGCAGCGAATTGCTTATCCTTAAAGGCGAGTGCATTCCGTTAGGTTGTAAGCCAATTGGCGACCTCCCACATGACCTTTGCTCACTTTGTCACCCCAATTCTCCTCCTCCCGTGGCATGCAAGAAAGACCCCACCACCCAACGACAGAAACACGACGCCAAGAACGAGCACAGCTGCCCAGGACTTCGGGATTCAGAGGCAGTCTGAGTCGTTACCTCCTATGCACTGTCATTTCCAAGACCTCACGTCTCTCCGCAGTGCCGCAGAAGTTCTGGTTTCGACGAAATGGCACGCGATACACGAAACACACGAAATAATGTTCCACTCTCAATAGCATCTCTCGAGCCTGACTGCCACCTGTAAACGCTGACTTTTTCTGAGCCGAAAGATTTGGCAATCATGTACTTATGTATGATATAGGAAATGGATATTTGACTGAAGATATATCTCTGTATTTTTAACATCGTAACATTTTTCTCTAACACTGTAACATTGAAATATTTTCTCCGTATCTTGTGTTACATGTCCACCATCGTGACCATTTTTACCTACGGAAATCTTCTTTAACTTCCTCGGGCAATTTCTGCTTTCGGTAGCCTATTTGGTGACTGCTGATACTTCACCATAACCAGGCCGCGAGCTAATCGCCACGAACACACTCACCCTGTGTGATGAAGTGCTTCTCAAACTTGGTGAGGAACTCGAGGTAGAGCAGATCGTCGGGCGTCAGCGCCTCCTCACCCACCACCGCCTTCATCGCCTGCACGTCCTTGCCGATGGCGTAACACGCGTACTGCAACACCACGAGGGCGCACCGACTGATGTGTGGCCACACCAGTGCAGCGGTCCGCCGCCGCGGCACGGCCCACGTCCCAGAGCCGCGGCGGTACAGCCCACGTCCCAGAGCCGCGACGGCACGGGCCACGTCCCAGACCCGCGGCGGTACGGTCCACGTCCCAGAGCCGCGCCCGCCACACCAGCCGACTGACACCGGAGGCGCCCCATGCGCTGCCGCACGCGCATGCGCAAAACAAATGCGGCTACGCATGTGACGTGGAGAACAGCTCTAAACCAAATTCGAATTAAAGACGTGCAGTTGTGAGAAAAAATAAGCATACTTAAAAACACGGCGCGGTGCGATGAACGAATGGAAGCCGAAGGATCAACGTTGTTCAAATTCAGTCCAACGCACGGTGCGAGAAACACGTAATTCCGTTTGGAGCACCACAAGCGAGTGATTTCCGCTTGGAAACCGCTTACTTCGCTGGAAGAAGAGGCGACGCTGTGTACGCCACCTGTTCCTCAGCATACGCACAAACCCAGCTTTACCTGTCGATATCGTGTGAGTTCATATCCATGCGCCACGATCTGACGACGTGAGCAGAATACCTTGCTACTCCGCCTCGCTGGCTGGTACGCTCTCAGGTCAATCTTACGGGAAATGGCCGCTTGACCTCACCAGCCCCAATCCACCTCACCTCACTCAATCCACAATCATCTCACCTCGGCACCGCAACCGCACCGTCCGTCACTAGGAGGGCGCGTCGAGCCCGACCCTCGCGCCCCGCACACGCCGCCGGCGACACCCACCAGCTGGTTGGAGACGTCGGCGTGGTCCTTGCGCGTCATGCCCTCGCCGATGGCCGACTTCATGAGCCGGCTGAGCGACGGCAGCACGTTGATGGGCGGGTAGATCTGTCGGTTGTGCAGCTGCCGGTCCACGTAGATCTGGCCCTCGGTGATGTAGCCCGTCAGGTCGGGGATCGGGTGCGTGATGTCTGCAACGGCGCAGATGTGACGTGGCGTGACGTGGCCTCGCGACGTGGCGTGGCGTGGCGTGGCGCGGCGTGGCGTGGCGTGGCGTGGCGTGGCGTGGCGTGGCGCGGCGCTGCGTGGCGTGGCGTGGCGTGACGTGGCGTGGCGTGGCGTGGCGTGGCGTGACGTGGCGTGGCGTGACGTGACGTGGCGTGGCGTGGCGTGACGTGACGTGGCGTGGCGTGGCGTGGCGTGGCGTGGCGTGGCGTGGCATGGCGTGGCGTGGCGTGGCGTGGCGTGGCGTGGCGTGGCGTGGCGTGGCGTGGCGTGACGTGGCGTGACAATGCATTTCCGCGTCCACTTATGGATAACCTTGCACTCAGAATGATGCGGATCAGGCTGGGACCCAGAGCATATGAAGGCCAGCGGTCCGACCCCACCTGTTTTACGAAGCTGGTAAAACGCGACAGCGCCAATATCCACGTGCTGCTTCAAAAGTATTAGGCCAAGCTCCCAGACTTGGAAAAAACAATATTTCTCAGGCCTGTCATGTGATCCCATTCACAAATGTTACTTACTTACATTTTGATAAAATTTAAAATGTCCACCACAAATGCAATGATTTCAATCCACCATGTTCATGAATGATGAACTAGGTAACATGATGGGGTAGATCTGGGTGACCATTTCCTGCAAGCGTCGAATCGAGCACAAATAATGTGAATGAATGAGGCTGAGAACCGTACGTCAGGCGCAAAAATAGTATGAAACAAGTCAAAAAGAGATTACTTTGAGCAAACCATCATGCTGACACGGATTGGGGTTAAGCTATCAAAGCATAAATTACATAAAATGTTGATGGTCTTTCTAAAGCATTTGGTAAAACAACTAAAAACAAACGTGCTATCAGCTCTTTGCCATCACAAAAATACTACGGTTTCCACAATAGTAAATCAAAATGCACGAACTGCCCGCTGGAGTGGTGAATGCGAGTTACCATACGCTGAGGCTTCCAAAATATGGCGATATCCTGCTGCCTCCGTCTTGCGGGATGAGGCGTATATAGACAACTTTTCGAGATGAAAAGATGGAAATTAGCATCCTGAAGAAGTTTTATATCTACCTCGAACCGCTATTACCAAACTTAGCACCGACGGGAGCCCAGCGTGGGTGCCCGGGTCCCTGCACTGGATAAATCACGAACATACTGGTGACAAATGACAAAGACCTCCCATAAAGCCGACCAACACAGAAAAAAAACAAAACACAACATTGAAGAGCGAACCATAAATACCGCCAACTCAACTAATAAACCTCGGTGGCAACAACTCCACTAGCACGGCCACTCACCGTCGTTGGGCATGGTGAGGATGGGGATCTGCGTGATGGAGCCGTTGCGGCCCTCCACGCGGCCGGCGCGCTCGTAGATGGTGGCCAGATCGGTGTACATGTAGCCGGGGAAGCCGCGCCGGCCGGGCACCTCCTCGCGCGCGGCCGACACCTCGCGCAGCGCCTCGGCATACGACGTCATGTCCGTCAGGATGACCAGCACGTGCTTCTCACACTGGTAGGCGAGGAACTCGGCCGTGGTGAGCGCCAGCCGCGGCGTGATGATGCGCTCGATGGTCGGGTCGTTGGCCAGGTTCAGGAACAGGCACACGTTCTCCATGCTGCCGTTCTCCTGCGCGCGGCGGAGAACAGTCGTCATGCGCAGCAGGCGCGGCCAACACGTCATACGTGAAAATGCGATGTTAGCGCTAATGAATGCAGCGACAATGCAAAGGTTCAATGGCCAAGGCGTCAGCTGGGAGCCGACCCCGTGGGCGCCTCCCACACATAAGTTACATATATATATATATATATATATATATATATATATATATATATATATATATATATATAGTGTTCCCGAATTGGGTTACCGGCCCGGGGAAAGCAAGGGCGGCTTCGGTACGGAATGCGAGGGAATGCGTTGCAACGAAAAACATCGCAAACACGTGCGCATGCGCACGGAAACATTCAAATGCTAACACGCATCGTCCTCACGCACCCAGTACGCCGTAGCAAACACTGGCCGATATCCAGCACTCAGTATGTCAGAATTAAATAGACAGGTGACTTATGATGAGACTGAATCATCGCATCCATCGCATGACAGGTCGTAAGACACAATCCATCAGCATTAAAAAGGCGTGTGTTCGGGCATCGTCGCCTTGCATGCGTCGCACGCCCGGTGCGAGGTCTCACCTCGAAGTCCTGCTTGAAGAAGCGCGCCGCCTCCATGTTGACGCCCATGGCGGCGAACACGATGGCGAAGTTGTCGCTGTGGTCGTCCATCACCGACTTGTTGGGTAGCTTGACAAGGCCGCCTTGTCTGCAGATCTGAGCCGCGATCTGGAAGCAGAGTCGGGTCAAGATCGGGCTCCAGTCCCGGCAGCAGCTGCTGATGCGGCTGCTGCTGCAGCTGCGGCTGCGGCTGCGGCTGCGGCTGCTGCTGCGGTTGCAGCTGAGGTTGCGGCTAAGGCTGCGGCCCGGCCCGTTCCCAGACGTGTTCAGCCACCACCCCGCTCCGCACAGACCACCTCTAACAGCAGGACAGCAAGCAGGCACACCATGAGTTTTCACAATGCACTACACTGCCTGTCAAATGAGCCTACAACATGACAACTGACAGGAGGTCATGCGCCGCCTCCGTAGTAAGTCGCCACCGTCAAAGGCCACCCGCCGCCCACTTGCCTCGTTGTGCGGCAGCCCGGCCGCCGAGAAGATGGGGATCTTCTGCCCGCGAGCGATCGAGTTCATGACGTCGATGGCCGAGATGCCCGTCTGGATCATCTCCTCCGGGTAGATGCGCGACCACGGGTTGATGGGCTGGCCTGGCGGGCGGCACACGCAGGGCTCAGCAGCGAAGGCAGCATCGCTGCGGCCGACGCTAGACGCCGAATCGTGCAGCCGAAAACGACAAAGCGCAGGAAAAACATGGCGAGATACTTGTCTGTCACTCCATCCACAGAAATGACGAATGCATAACAGAAGTAGATGAAAAACGATTCGTCCTGCCAGTCGAATGCGTTTGCGTACACCCGTGTGGCACCAATAGCATGAACTAGCTGACTGTTAACTGCGTAAGCGCTGCACTCGCTTACCTTGGATGTCGAGGAAGTCCTCAGCCAGCACGGGCGGCCCCTTGTCGATGGGCTTGCCGGAGCCGTTGAAGACGCGACCCAACATGTCCTCGGACACGGGCGTGCGCAAGATATCGCCCGTGAACTCGCAGATGGTGTTCTTGGCATCAATGCCCGACGTGCCCTCGAACACCTGCCGGTCGCGGGCCCAGCTGTAGCTGACAGGCTCCGGTAGTGACCGACCGGTGCGACGGCGCCGGAGACGGACAGGTTCGGGTCCAACTTCCGAGCTGGCAACCGCGCAGTCTCTCCCCTCTACTTCTCCCTTATTTTCCTTCCCTCTCAGTCCCTTTCCTCCCTCGCCTCGCCTCGCCTCGCCTCAGCCTCAGCCTCAGCCTCAGCCTCAGCCTCAGCCTCAGCCTCAGCCCCAGCCCCAGCCCCAGCCCCAGCCTCAGCCTCAGCCTCAGCCTCAGCCTCAGCCTCAGCCTCAGCCTCAGCCTCAGCCTCAACCTCAGCCTCAGCCTCAGCCTCAGCCTCAGCTTCAGCCTCAGCCTCAGCCTCGACCTCAGCGTCAGCCCCAGAGTCAGTGTCAGCGTCAGCGTCAGCCCCACCCCCAGCATTAAGCCTCAGCCTCAGCCTCAGCCTAAGCCTCAGCCTCAGCCTCAGCCTCAGCCTCAGCCTCAGCCTCAGCCTCAGCGTCAGCCTCAGCCTCAGCCTCAGCCTCAGCCTCAGCCTCAGCCTCAGCCTCGACCTCAGCGTCAGCCTCAGAGTCAGAGTCAGCGTCAGCGTCAGCCCCAGCCCCAGCATTAAGCCTAAGCCTCAGCCTCAGCCTCAGCCTAAGCCTAAGCCCCAGCTTCAATGTGCGCCTCAGCCTCAGCCTCAGCCAGCCTAAGCCTAAGCCTAAGCCTAAGCCTAAGCCTAACCCCCAGCTCCAGCTTCAGTGTGCGCCTCAGCCTCAGCCTCAGCCTCAGGGTCAGCGTCAGCGTCAGCCCAAGCATCAGCCTCAGCCTCACCCTCAGCCTCGACCTCAGCATCAGCCCCAGCATCAGCCCCAGCCCCAGCGTCAGCTCCAGCCCCAGTCCCAGCCTCAGTGTGAGCCTCAGCGTCGCCCTTGCACCTTTCCTCGCCCCTCCTCCTGCCCGTCCCTTCGTGCCAGGCTGGTAAGACTCACGGCCACCCCTGATCGACAGACGGATGGCGGCGTCTGCTGCCACTGACCTGCACGACGGCCTTGGAGCCGCTGACCTCCAGCACCTGGCCCTGCCGGTCGGTGCCGTCGCCCAGCGTCAGGTTCACGATCTCGCCGAACTTGGGGAACTTGACGCCATCCAGAATCACCAGCGGACCGTTCACGCCCGACACCGTCTTGTACGCTGACGGTGGCGGGTGGAACACGCGTTACGCGCGGGGTCAGGCACACCAAGGTCTGTCCACGCCTGCAGGCACGCGCACATAGGCATGCGGACATACGGAGGCTTATCAAAACCTGAATTTGCGCACTAGATATACCGTCTCCATTGCACTGAAAATCTGACGGAATGAACCAACTTAGGGGTTGAAGGGAATGTTCCACGCGTGAAGATTTCGAGGCAAACATCATGTATGATGAAATAAGCTCACTTATATCTACTGGTGTACTTGTAACTGGAAAAGACTGGTTTAAACACCACAACTGCCTTCCTTTGGTACATATACCCATTAATATGTCATTGTTTGATTACGTCACTGTACCATGCACAACACTGACTGAGAGCCAATTGACAGCTGTTATGTCTAGAAATCGTACTCACGAACACCAGATATGAACGATTCATTAACTATATTGCTACTGACTTTACTCGCCGCATGCCTAATGAAATGGCAGGATTCGAATAATGTTATTATGACGTCATGGATGCCTGGGTGACCTTGAAATAGCCCCCTCCCCCCCCCCCCCCGATATCGTTTGCATATCTTCGCGAGTGTGAGGATCAGAAACTAGAGGCGCTTAGGTCTAAAGAAGGACAGGGCTGTGAACTGCACCAAATGATCCTCAAGGGGCTGTTGTAGTTCAAAATATTATACAAATGCGGAACACAAACTTTAAATGCACCCATCTTGAACCAAACACAGCAACATAACACCCATGGCCGGAACAACTTTTACCAACGCTTCCACGTTCCCACTACGTCAGTCATCTCAGTACAGAAAATGACAGAAGGCACTGGATGGAGCCGGACCAAAACGACGGAACCAGATCGGACCAGGCGAGACCGGAAGGCACCGGACAGGACAAGGCAGGATCGGGCGTGATGAGGAGGGACCGGAAGGCACCGGACGGGACAAAGCGGGGCCGGACGGGGTGAGACGGGACCGCAAGGCATCAGACGGGATAAGGCGAGGCGGGATGAGACGAGACTTGACAGGACCGGAAGGCATCAGACAGGAAAAGGTGGGGCTGAGCAGAACTGGACGCCACTGCATGGGAATGAACTAAACCATATGGGACTGGAAGGAGCCAGACAGGACCAGACAGGGCTGCATGAGGCCAGCTCAGAATCAGTCCAGTCCTGGCTTGCCCAGTCCCATCTGGTCATGTCTGGTCCTAATG